TCAGCACAGAACCAGCCATAGCAGCCATTGGAGGAGTGAACCAACGGAAGTAAGATGCGGAAGGAAAGGTGCAACACACCCGGATGAGTGGGTAGCTTCTGTTTATTCCACCTGGAAAAGCTGAGACGAGGGGAGGGACTGGAGGGGGATGCGCGGACAGAGGATTACGTGAGTAGAGGGTGTGATGCCGTGGGTTAAGTAGCACAGAGTGCATAGTATGGCGGGGCTGCTACGGTGTGAGTGCCCGAGACCCGAGACCCGCTGGGGACCGGGAGATACATGGCGCAGGACTTACAGAAATCACATCAGCTGCCAAGAGGCTCGGTAAGAGCATGCAACCGCAGAAAGCCAGCGGTGCTGGAGAAACACGGGAGCTCCCAAAGACACCGGGACCCCAAGCTCAACCTGTCTTTTGCCACCACAGTAAAGGGAGGGTGCACCGTGCCCGGAGGTACTGCAATACCGGGTCGATGCGCGGAGTGGACGGAGCAAGCTCCTATTCCAACTCCCGGCTCCAAAAATCCATTTAATATATTGTCCTCGGATAGAGGACGTATCAGATATTAAACTGATAAGAACAGATACTACACTTGATCTTAGCCAAAAGGCCGAGAAGCGATACCCGACCCTGCCGCCCGCGCTCCAGCAGGCCTCCCCTCACGCACCTTCAGCTCGCGGCGACCACCCCAGCCCTCACGGCGTGCCCCTTTTCCTTCGCGTCCCTGACAGTCTTCTTGGGCTTCCTTAGGCGCCTGGGCACACTTCCTACTCTTCCTATTTTTCTACGAGAAAAGTCACAGCCCCGCTTCTCCCGGCATTCCCGGGCTGACCAGCCACAGCTGATTTGCATGCCCCGCCCCCGCAGAGCAGGCTGGGCTACCGCGGGCGCCCCCACCGCCGGGACTGACGGATCCCGAGCACCGAGCGGACCGGGAGTGCCGGCCCCTGCGGACTCCCGAGGAAGCAGGGATCCGGTGTGGGGGCCCGCACCGCTTCACACCTGGCAGCTCGCGGCCCCGTGCGGGGTGGGCCCGCGCCGTCCGCTCACGTGCACGCGCACGGCCGTGTCTGCGGGGCCGCTAGGGGGCGCCCTTGCGCCCTGCGCCGGCCCGACCACCAACCTGGCCGGGGGGGATTCTTGAGTTGGGGCCACCCGGCGGAAGTTTGGCGGGCGGGGCCTTTCCCCCGTTCGGCCCCGCGCCGAGCGGGCTGGCCTCGCGAGCTGTGGGCGGCGACACTGTGCCGGGTGGCGGGTGACTGCAAGGTGTCCAGTGCATAACAAATCTTCCCAGGGCAGCGAATCAATTAATTCACAAGCTTTTATTGGGATTCCGCTGCCGGGCGAGGTTCCCCGATCCCAACAGAGCGCGGCAGAGGTTGGCAGGGCTCCCTTTATAGATTCAGGGCATGGGGGTTAAAGGTTGAGGCGGGTCTGATCCTCACTGGTTGACCTTTTGAAGAGTTAAAATTGTATATGTGCGGGTGTAAAAAGTTAAGCTTAAGCTTACAGGTTTAAACCTTCCTGGTACAGCTGTAAAAATAAGACAGAGTGAAGTAGCACCTAGACAGTTAGGGACTCCATTTTGGAGCACTTGAGACTCCATTCTGAGAAAGCACCCCCCCACCGTGAGACTCTGGTCTGAAACTATGATCTCAAATAGTCGGACAATAACAGTGCACTACATCACCCTTGGCAACACACAAAAACCCCCTAGCATGATTGCTCAAGCTTAAAAGTAGAAAGGTTGCACCTGGGTTACCTGGGCTAATAATAAAGATGTGATTTGTCTGTGTCTTACATTAATGTCAAGTCCTAATCGCTAATTGTAATATTGTAACTGGTATTGTCAAGATTATGATAAATATTAATTTCACTTAGGTTTTAGGTTATGTTGACCCCAGTAACCATATACTCTCTTTTGATTTTATGTACTCTCTTTTGATTTTAGCAACTGTGTATAGCAACCGTGCATAGCAACCATGTATTCCCCCCTTCCCGGTTTTGCGGTTTTTGCCTTTATAAACCCTAACCTTTGGTTAGTCGGGGCTGCTCTGCTTTTGTGTGATCAGGCAGCCCCAGCATGCTGGATAATCAATAAATCTTTAACCCTTTGCTGGTTGCATGAGAGAAAAGTCTCTTGGAGTCGTTCCTCGGCCGGTGGGCTTTTTCAGACTCTAACACTTTAAGCACCTGCGGGGACCCTGACAAGGACTTTTCTTCCCGGGAAGTGCGGGTAGGGGCTCTCCATCCCCGGAAGTATAGGCCTTCCCTCCTTGCGGATCCCAAAGCTACCGGCGGCCGTCTGCTGCTTTCGATGCCGCTGGACACCATTTCCATAGCATCCTGGCCGACCATTTTTTTTTTTTTTTTAAGATTTATTTATTTATTGGAAAGTCAGAGCTAGGTAGCTTTGGGATCCGCATGGAGGGAGGGCCTATACTTCCGGGAATGGAAAGTTCCTACCCGTACTTGCGGGGGGGGGGGGGGAGTGCTTGTCAAGGTCCCCGCAGGTGCCTAAAGGTCAACCAGTGAGGATCAGACCCGCCTCAACCTTTAACCCCCATGCCCTGAATCTATAAAAGGAGCTCTCCCAATCTCTGACGCGCGACTTCCCCGGCCCCCCGCTCTGTTGCTCTGTTGGGACCGGCGAACCTCGCCCGGGAGCGGAACCCCAATAAGAGCCTGTGAATTAATCGATTCGTCTGCCTGGGAAGATTTGTTATGCGCCGGACACCTTGCAAGAGCCAGGCCTCCTTGGTGACACCCGCGTGCCTGCTGTGCGGTGTCTGGGGTGGCTGCCGACAGAGGCTCGCCGGCCCGCTCTACTGGCCGGCCGGGCTGTACCGTGCCGCTCATTCGGGCAGGGTCGACCCCGGGAGCGGTAACTCGAGCCCCATCTCCCATGTGAGCGCCGGGCACCCGGCCCTCGGAGCCATCACCTGTCTCCCTCCAGGGTGCATGCCAGTGGCGAGCTAGGAGGGGGAGCAGAGCTGGGACGCAAACCCGGGCTGCCCTGCGCGCCCAGCGCCTGGTGCAGGCATTCCGGGTGTCCTCCCGCGGTGCCCCCGCTTTCCTCTTTCTGAGTCCCCGGACATCCCAGGGCCTGGCAGCAGGGGTGTGGAACCGAGCGCACTTTTATTTTAAAAAGATGTATTTATTTGAGAGGCAGAGTAGCAGGCTGGGGGGGGGGGGGGACTCTTTCATCCGCTGGGTCGGTCCCCAAGTGGCTGCAATGGCTGGGGCTGGGTCAGGCTGAGGCCAGGAGCCTGGCACTTCATCCGTGTCTCCCACATAGGTGCAGGGGCCCAAGCACCTGGGCCATCCTCTGCTGCTTTCCCAGGCCATTAGCAGGGAAGTGGAGCAGCCCCAGAACCCAGGCCTGTATGGGTGCCGGCATCGTGGTCGGCAGCTTAACCTGCTCCATCCAGCACCACCCAGCAACTGGACATTTCCGATCGGTGGTCGTGGATTCATAATCACCTAGTGCTCTATGCTCCCCAAAGCGTCCTCCACTATGACCTTTCCTGCAGCGCCGACATCCCATACGGGTGCCATGTCCCAGCTGCTCCACTTCCGATCCAGCTCTCTCCCATAGCCTGGGAAAACAGTGGAAGACGGCCCAAGTCCTTGGGCCCCTAGGGCCCCGCGTGGGAGGCCCAGAAGAAGCTCCTTCTGGCTCCTGGCCCAGAATTGACCCAGCTCAGGTTGTTGCGGCCATCTAGGGAGTGAACCAGCAGAGGGAAGATCCTTTTCTCTGTAACTCTGCCTTCAAATAAATAAAAGAAAAAGGAACAGCTAAAACCATAGAGAAGAAAATGATGCCCCTCCATTATTCGAGGTGCAAGCACTTGGATGAAAATTCACCTGGGCTTTACTTTACCACCCCCGGAGTCAACAAATAATAAAAGACTACTTCCCGTTAGAGACCTTGGGCCTGTCTCCCTACAGGACCCTCACTATACAGCAGAACCTCGAGCCTAGAAGCGAGATGGACTCACAGAGCCAAAGGAAAAAGGAGGAAGAATCGTCTACCCACCTTAGCTTGTCTGCCACCTGTAAGTGTTCCCATGAAAACCTGAGTCAGAACTACCAAACACAGGACAATTCTGTTCTTAGCACGACCTTGTACCCCCCCGAGGGGGTGCACCGTGCCCGGAGGTACTGCAATACCGGGTCGATGCGCGGAGTGGACGGAGCAAGCTCCTATTCCAACTCCCGGCTCCAAAAATCCATTTAATATATTGTCCTCGGATAGAGGACGTATCAGATATTAAACTGATAAGAACAGATACTACACTTGATCTTAGCCAAAAGGCCGAGAAGCGATGCCGGGCCCCTGCGCGCGCGCCGCCGCCCGCCCCCGCCGCGCACCTTTCACGCGCGGTGACTCCCGCCCCGCCCCGCCCCGCCCCCGCCGCTCCTCGGGCCCGCGCGCGCCCCGCAGGCCACGCCGCCCTATCGCCCTCATCGTCCACGCGGGCGAATCCGCGCGTGCGCTCGGGACGGGCTTCTCCCCGCCCCGTATCGGCCCGCGGCCGGCCTCATCTGCATGCCCCGCCCCCCCCCCCGCAGTGCTCATCTGCGTGCTCCGCCCCCGCCGTGCTCGCCCCGCCCCCGGAGCCGCCGGCGCCCTCCCGAGGTCGCGGAGAGGCGCGGGCTCCTGACAGGGCTGCGGGGCGGTGGGCGCGTCTCAGCCCTGCCCTGCTCTGCCGCGACTCCTGTGTGGGCCGGCCACCCGGACCCCCACCCTCGCTCCCCTGCGGTCAGGGGGTGCCGAGCGGCTGCGTGGGCAGAGAGGGCGCCCAGGAGGCCAGCGCTATCCGCCGCTACCCCGTGGGGGCCGGGGTCGCGGCTCTGCGACCGGACTCCTGAGCGCCTGCATCGCCCGTGGACAGGAACACCGGATCGTGTGCGTTAGGACCTGTGGGGTCGCTCAGGCCTCAACCCGCAAACCCGACGGACGCGGGCACAGAGCCTCCAAGGCCAGTGGGATGTCGAGGGCTCAGGAAGCCCCACCCCTGCCCCCGCCCGGGGGACCGACCCCGCCCTTACACCCGCCCACTCTTCCTCCGGAAATAAGGCGTTTTTACTTTACTTTTAAAGATTTCCGTGCGTTTGAGAGAATTACGGGAAGGGGGCGAGAGCGAGACTAAAGAGAAACAGAGAGAGCGAGACAGCGAGAGCGAGAGCGAGCGCCTCCATCCACCGCTTCGCTCCCAGGAGGCACAACCACCGGGGCTGGGCCAGTTTATTTCAGTTGGTACAGCAGCTTATATAGCCGAGGCAGCCAGTCGGGTCAAGGGGCGGTTTATGCCTTAACCAATCACTGCCTGTTGCCAGGCGGGCTCCTTTGCCAGGTGGGTTCTGAAGCCATTCCTGAGTAACTGACGCTCGCTCGCTCGCCAGCGCCATCTTGGCACGGCCTTCTCATTCCATAACACGTCCCCCTTTTCATTTATTTTTGAGCAACAGGAGGCATGATCCTTGGCCATACCATTGTTGACCCCGTTTCCATGTGGTCTCATGTGGCTTGTGCCTGTCTTCGGTTGTCCCTCAGGGGATCTTACCTGACGTTGACTAACCAGCCCTCAAAACGGGAGACCACAGGAGTGCTTGCTCAGATGGGGGTAGGAGTGAGGAACAATGGTAATCAGGAATGGCATGACTGCACGCAGGCTGTTGGCTGTTCGAGTGGCTGACCAGAGCTAAGTGGGGTATGAAGCAGTAGCGGATGTGGCTATGGGCAGTTCCTCAGGGCAGGATGATAGGCCAGCAGCTTGACCATCAGTAGCAGGAGCACCCGTGAACAAGGCGGTCTCTCAGTCTTGTTCAGCTGGTCCTGGCTGACTGTCAGTTGCAGGCTTCATGTTTCTGGCTGGTACCCAAATGGGCTGTCCCGCATTCTCTGGAAAGACACAAACATATCCTTAGCCCTTGGTTAGCAGAAGCCTTTTTACGGGCGTTGGAATCCAGGGCCTGAATTTTGTGTCCACTCTGACATTAATGGCAAACATGTGGGTGGGATGGGGTCTAGCAGCTGCCCTGAGAGCCTGGGGTGCCCGGGGACTGCCACAAACGTGGGGATCCTCACTGGGTGCAGATGGGATGACCTCACATGGGTTATCGCCTCAAGGTCGTCTAAGTTCATCCCCCCGGGTGCTTGGGGGGTGGCTGCCTAGGCATTGCTGCGTTGTCTGCTGTCATGTCATTTTCACTGTCGACGCTCTCTCTCCCTAAGTCGTCAACTGTTGCCTGTGAGGCAGCGCCCTGGAGTGACAGGCTCTTATCACTCACAGATTCATTATGTTTGGTAATTTGTGTGGGTTTCAGAGAGGGGGGTATCTTTCCCATGTTTGAGCACTTAAGAGCGGCGCGCCATGCCAACTCTAGCCGAAGGAAAGACACCCACAGCACTGCCGCCATAACAAAACAAATTCCTAGCACCTCAGCGGCTGATGGCATTCTGCAGGGGGTTCCCTACCTTAGGCGAACAGACAGTGGTGTATCAGATCGTACGTATGTCCTGCGCTTAGTGGGGGACTTCCTGGTTCCGTTAGGTCAAGGCCGTGTGCCCACACGGTGTCTCCGGAGCGTCACCTCTCTCGAGTGAGGGAAGATGGCCTGGTTCCGAATTCCGGGATGATCGGTCCCTTCTGCGAATTCCCCCGGCGAACCAAAAGTAAAAGGAGGAGCCGAGAAGCGGCGTTATGCTTCTGGGCGGTGGGTGTGTGCTTAACCTGGGGTCACTTCGACCGAGGACAAGGACAAGGAAAGGGGCGTAGGAGGGGGTTCTGTGCTCACCCTCACAGAACAGAACAGCAAACAAAACGCTGAGGGGCCTACTTGCCGAAATCAAGGGGGGAACCTCGCCAAGTCGTCACGCTGTCTCTCAGCCATGTTGGCGCCAGATGTTGCTGTGGATTCGTTCCGAGAGGAGGAGCGCGGTGGGGGCAAGAGGCACGGAGTCAGGACACAGACACTGGGAGTCAGGTGAAAGTGGGCTAGAGGGGAGCAACTTGCATACTCGTTGATTTCAGTTGGTACAGCAGCTTATATATAGCTGGGGCAGCCAGTCAGGTCAAGGGCCGGGTTATGCCCTAACCAATCACTGCCTGTTGCCAGGCAGCCTCCTTTGCCAGGTGGGCTCTGAAGCCATTCCTGAGTAACTGACGCTCGCTCGCTCGCCAGCGCCATCTTGGCACGGCCTTCTCATTCCACCACAAGTTCTGTCGTATAAAAAGAGCATGTCCCATCAAAGAGTAATGACCCTGCATTCCAGCTCTTTCTGGGCTCCCGTGAGTCAGTCCGCTCCCCCTCAGCCCGCCATCCTCCATGTGCACACGCTAGAGGGCTCGCAAAACACCAGGGGGTCAAGCCGGCTCGGAAGTGGAGCGGCCAGGACTCAGACCAGCACCCACATGGGATGTCCATACAGCACCCACAGCAGTCCACATACTGCTGTGCTGCAAGCGGCTGTCTTCTCCCCCTCTCTCTGTCACTCTGCCTTTCAGACGAGTTCATCTGTAGCTGCCTTCCAGTTCTTTGATTCACCAGCAAGCCCTGGCAGTTTGAGTACTGTGATCAGTCACAAGCCCAGTGGTTCCCTTTCTTTTAAATCCTTCCTTGCTTCCTACCTTCCTGAACAAGACTTTAGTCATGGTCTTGCAACTACGAGTTTGCTTTTGTACATCAGAATATGGAAAGAAAAAGAAAGATATTTGGAGTGAAAACAATTTCCCCTGTTGTTCAAAGTGTTCTTTCTTTCCTTTTCCTTTCTCCCTCCCTTCCCCCACCCTCTCTCTCTCTCTCTCTCACTCTCTCTCTCTCTCTCTCTCTCTCTCACACACACACACACACCACATGGAGGGTGGACAGAGACAGAGAGGGATGCTTCCAATTTGGCTAGTTCACTTCCTTTCTTTTCTCCCAAGATTTAATAGTTACCTGAAATTTAGAGCGAGCGAAAAATATCCTCCATTCCCTGGTTTCCCCGGTTCACACCCAAAATGGCCACTAGGACCAGGCCTGGGCCAGGAGCTTCTTCTGACCTCCCATGTGCGTGGTGGGAGCTGAGAAGGTGATCCAGGTCTTTCCCAAGGACGACAGGGGCCCAAGGACTTCAGCCACCACAGGTGACCTGCTTAGGGAAGGGGGAAGGAAGCTTGAGTCGGGTATTGCACCCAGACGCACCAATATGGGGAACAGAAATTATTTAATAAGATTATCTGAAGCACACAGCAAGAGAGGTTCAACCTCCTGGTTTGCTAGTTTGGTCAAGTTACAGCAAGGAGCCTGGACCTCCAGCCATGGTGGCGCAGATGGGAGGTGAGGGAGAAGCCCTAACACTTGGGCGTTTTCTAAAGCCCAACACTAACTCTCAACAGCTAAAGACAAAAACCCTATGGCCTGCTTTTTGATGTCACGTGCCCCCCCTTGATGGCACATGCTGCTGCACCCCAGGGCCTGGAACCCGGGCACCCTGGTGTAGACAAAGGCTGCTCAAGCTGACCAAATGTCGGCCCCACCTCCACCTCTTATGCCGAGCATTGGGAAAGAGAGATGTTCCGGACTCTGTGGTGGTGTTGCCCTTGGGCGCCTGTCGCTGCTGACTTGTTGTCGTCCACGCTTCCCCCTGGTTACCACAAAAAACTTTTTTTGTTTTGTTCCAAAACTCAGAAATAAAACCTTAAATTTAAGAGCTGGGGCATTGAATCGAATCCCATGCTTTGGAACAGTGTTAACAGAGTCAGGACTAGGGACAGAGACGAGCTTACTGGAGCTTGCTAAAACACTGAACAGAGTCACCAATTAAAACGATCAAAAGGAGATGCTACAAGTTTTAAACAGATTTCTGAGACAATTAAAAACTGTTTGCTAGGGGCTGGTGCCATGGCGCACTAGCTTAATCCTCCACCTGTGATGCCAGCATTCCAAATGGGCGGTGGTTCGAGTCCCGGTTGCTCCTCTTCCAATCCAGCTCTCAGCTATGGCCTGGGAAAGCAGTGGGAGATGGCCCAAGTCCTTGGGCCCCTGCACCAGCGTTGGAGACTGGGAAGAAGCTCCCGGCTCTTGGGCTTCGGATCGATGCAGCTCCGGCCATTGCGGCCATTTGAGGAGTGAACCAGTAGATGGAATACCTCTGTCTCTTTCTCCCTCTCTCTCTCTCTCTCTCTTTCTCTCTCTCTCACTGTCTGTAACTCTACCTGTCAAATAAATAAATAAAATCTTTAAAAAAAAGTTTCCTAACATATGTATTGCAAAAATCCTCTATTTCCTTAATAGAGGATTATCAGATTATAATTCTATGTTAACAAAAAAAATAGAATAGATTTGGATTAAAAATTTATTTTTTATAACGTTCTGTGACTTCATCACACCCTCTTCAACTTACTTGAAATGTTCTATCATTTCCATTCCAGTCAAGAGTAAACCAGCCATCAGGATGAAGTCATTCTTACAAACCATGTCCTTTCTTTATTCAAAAAAACCTTTTATCTTCTTAACCTTTCTTATCAAGCACACATTTCTATACTTGTGATGTTTTCCATCTGCCAATTTCCTTGATTTACATTTGAAAGAACCTGTTAAAAAGCTCCAAATTAAGACAATATTTTAAAAAAAATTTTTTTGGGGGGGGGGACAGGCAGAATTAGACAGTGAGAGAGAGAGAGAAAGTCTTCCTTTTACCGTTGGTTCACCCCCCAAATGGACGCCACGGCCGGCGCGCAGTGCTCCGATCCAAAGCCAGGAGCCAGGTGCTTCCTCCTGGTTTCCCATGCGGGTGCAGGGCCCAAGGACCTGGGCCATCCTCCACTGCCTTCCCGGGCCACAGCAGAGAGCTGGACTGGAAGAGGAGCAGCCGGGACAGAACCGGCGCCCCAACCTGGACTAGAACCTGAGGTGCCAGCACCACAGGTGGAGGATTAGCCAAGTGAGCCCTGGCACCGGCCAACACAATATTTCTTTTTATGTATGTATTTATTTATTTTGTGTTGGGGGGACAAAGCTGCCTTCGGGGTGGAAGGGCTCCTCCACCTGCTGCTCCCTGGTCTCCACAGTGTTAGCGTCTGTGAAAAGACAATGCAGGGGAAGGGGGGGGCTCTTTCTGTCTCTTCCTGCCCCTTCTCCCCTCAGCTAAAGAGACTTTGAACTTAGGGGCCCATGAGCCTGGAGAGGCCTGAACCCAGTGAGGAAGTGTACGGGGAGCCCTCTCCCACCCCTATTTCCTTCTGGGAGTGGTCAAGGGCTCAGAGCCCCCTGCTGGCCTTTCCTAGCCCATCTTCCTGGGGCCTGGCTGTTTTTAATGAAAATTTCAGAGGAGGGGAGGGGAGGGGAAAGAAAGGAAAGAAAGACAGGGTCAGAGAGAGAGGTAGAGAGAGGTCTTGCATGCTCTGGTTCTCTGGTGGGATGCAAAGGCAGGAGGCAGGAGGTTCTCCTGGGTCTCCCATGCATGCGGGTGCAGGGGCCGTAGCAGAGAGCTAGAACGGAAGAGGTGGGAGCAGAACCGGCGCCCATGTGGGGCTTGGAGGCAATAGCTACGTATGTCAGAGTCCCCTGTTGGGAGGTGCAGGCTGGTTGGCTCCCAGAGGTGGACCACTGCCATTGGGGCTGGACAGCGAGACGTCTAGGCTGGCCGGTGTGGTTGGTCTGCTGTTCGTCTGCACACGCAGGGGAAACAGCACAAAACACGAGCAAGGAGAAGCCCCAGACGTTTCTGGGCAAGCAAGCCCACGAGCTGGGTGAAGTCTGCCTTTGAAACCGCGTTGTATCACCCGAGGGGGTGCACCGTGCCCGGAGGTACTGCAATACCGGGTCGATGCGCGGAGTGGACGGAGCAAGCTCCTATTCCAACTCCCGGCTCCAAAAATCCATTTAATATATTGTCCTCGGATAGAGGACGTATCAGATATTAAACTGATAAGAACAGATACTACACTTGATCTTAGCCAAAAGGCCGAGAAGCGATGCCGGGCCCCTGCGCGCGCGCCGCCGCCCGCCCCCGCCGCGCACCTTTCACGCGCGGTGACTCCCGCCCCGCCCCGCCCCGCCCCCGCCGCTCCTCGGGCCCGCGCGCGCCCCGCAGGCCACGCCGCCCTATCGCCCTCATCGTCCACGCGGGCGATTCCTCGCCCGCGCTCGGGACCGGCCCCCCTCCCCCCTCCTCCCTTCTCCTCCCCCGCCCCACCGCCGCGGCCGCACTCATCTGCATGTCACGCCCCCGCCGTCCTCATCTGCATGCACCCGCCCCGCCCCGCCCCAGGGACCGCGCGCCGCTCCGCGGAAACATGGCCACGTGGCTCGGCCTTGTGGGCTGCGAGGCCTCCGCACGGAGTTCCCGGGTTCTCCCGCGAGGGCCGGAGAGAGCCGGCGGTTCCGCCGCGTACTCGTGACTCCCGGCTGGGGCGGGACCCGCACCGCGGGGGACCGGCCCCCGCACCGACTGCCGCTGTGGGAGGGGCCTTGCCTTTCACTGGAGCTCGTTTGCAGCTGACACACTTCAACTAGCGTGGAGAGCGTCCCGAGGACGAGGACCGACGAAAAGGGCGGCCCCTGCGCTGGGCAGGCCGCGCGGGGCGCACCGACTGCTGCTGCCGCCTCCGCCCCGAGGACGCGGGGGGCTGGCGGGGGAGGGGGACCTGGATCCCAGTGGAAGGACGCCTCAAGAAAGGGGGTTTCTGTTTATTCTTAATGATTTGTTTACTTACCGGAAAGACAGTCACACAGAAGCGTCCATCCGCGGGTTGAGTCCCACATGGCCGAAGCCGGCTGGGAGCCCGGAGCTCTGTGGTGGGCTCCGTGGGTGGGCTGTCTGAGAAGGTTTTCTTGCCCCCGTTATCAGGTAACCCCTTGGTCCTGAGGAGAGAGAATTCTCCTGGGAGCTTTCCTGGGGAAGGGCTGGGACCACCTGGGAGGTGACCAGGGTCTGGGCTCCTGGGCTTCCGCAGCAGGTGCTGGGCTGCAGGCCTGTCTCTCTCTCTCTCTCACATACACACACACACACACACACACACACAGGCTCAATTTCTGACTTCCTACCTGACATATCCCCCCTCAAGAGAGAATACCCGTAATTCTTTTATGGGGATAAATGGGCGGGGTTCTGTCTTCTAGCTACTTCCGAAGCTGACAAGTGGGCGTCCAGGGGGATATGGGTGTTTTTCTCTTGCTCTCTGTCCTGTGGTGCTTGAGAGTGGCCTCGGGAAGCATGGTCCTGCTTGGTCCAGAGAGCGGGTCACCTCGCCCGATGAGTAGGCTGTCCTAGAGGCACCTGGAGCAGATGGCTTGTGTTCTGTTAGAGAGAGGACACGCAAGGATGTTAAGGGGCAACAGTCTGCAGCGAGCACAGAATGTGCTTGGTGCTGTGTCGCCAAGGAGAGGCAGTGACCAGCATTTCCATGACCAGATGTGGTGTTAGGCCAGATATTTTAGTCTTGTCTGACCTGGCCCTGGAGTTGTCTGGCCTCGTCCAAGAAAGCATGAACATGACTTTTGCCCCTTTAGTTTGACCCTGGCTCGGGGCACTTTCTCGGGCAGCAGGTCGCAGGTCTAGGGCCTGCCTGTTTGAAGGCCTGAATTTGCAATCCCTTTGTGAGAGCCCTAGTCCTGGCAGCTTTTCAGTGGATGAAAGCTGAGCCTTGTTTGCTTGCTTTTCCCAAAGGAGGGGGCTCTGCTCTGGCTTCCTGCTGAGAGCCTGGTGTAGGAGCTGTGCTATTTCCCTGCATCTAGGAATCTGTTACCTGTTAGGGAAAAGGTGGGACTGCCTGAGGTTTGCAGAAGTAAGCATTTGCTGCATGGCCCATATCCTCTCTGGCGCTGGTCTTCTCTCCCCAGGGGCTTTTCCTCTGGATACCTAGTAGCTCGTTTTGCTAGGAAGTTAAGCCAATGGATAAGACCAGAATCTCAGGCTGGGAAGTTAAGCCAATGGATAAGACCAGAATCTCAGGCTGGGAAGGGGAGCAGACTAATAAATCATTTACATTTAACCATCTACATTTTCGGTGAGGACCCATCCAAATAGGTGCTGTTACTCAAAGCCCTGTTTTTAGGAACTGGCAGTGAAGTAGGCAGGTGTATAGGTTAAAGTCGATTAGCTTTGTGAGCTGGAAGACCGTGCCTTCGCCACACCCAGCTGGAAGACCGTGCCTTTGCCACACCTCTGTGTGACCTCAGGCCCCGTGCCCACCGGCCAATCAGGTTAATTAACCACTCCCCTTTGGAAGTGGGTTAAAAGTGGGTTAAAAGCCTGGGACCCCGTGTGTCCTGGCCCTCTTATTTTCCCTGGCCTCTAGCCAGGAGGGGGCTGGCTGTAGCCCTGCGCCTCCAGGGCCTGTGGCCTTCAGACCACCCGCCCTAGGCTTCCTGGCCTAGATGCTCCTCCACGTGGCTGGTTCCTGGTGCTCCGTATGAGTCCAGATTTGCCTCTCTCTCTTAGATAAAGCTCTCACTCTCCTATGCATCTTTCGCACTAAGTAAAGCTTACCATGTACCATGCTGCCTCATTTATCTGTGCCGGTATTTAGAATTCTTCTCTAAATATTAGGCAAGAGCCCTCTTGGGCTTATTAATATTGGGGATTTATTAATAAGCATATGGCGATATCGTAGGGAACTCAAATTTCAGTACCATATGTGGAAACCCAGATGGGCCTTCTGGGGAACTTTAAGGAGACACATTTTCATATATATTTTAGGGGTCATTTCTGATATCATATGGCACCCCAAATGCCGGTAACATACGTGGCATCCCAGATGGCGCTTCCAGGGAACTTTAAGGGGCCACAGTTGGATATATATTTTGAGAGGCCGTTTCTGATATCAGCAGGAAGGGCTTTCAGGGTTAAGAATATTTGGATAGACATCAAGGCCTGGCTGGATGTGTGAGGCCCAGACCTACGCGTGGGGTGCCAGAAGAGAAGAGAGATGAGAATCTCCTTAAGAGAGGCACCCTGTTGACTCCCATTATGAAGCTGGACTAGGAGGAGAGCTGAACAGGAGGCTGGTACAAATAGGCAACTTATGTTTCACTGACCCTAGGCCATCCCCTCAACAGCAGTGGCTAGAGCTGGAAGCTGGGCAGAGGCTGGGCAGAGCCAAAGGCTTTAAGCTCGGAGCCACAGGGTCTGCGGTTCTGAACCAGGGGTCCTTCGACCCCAGGGCAGTTCCGTGTCCAGTGGCCTTGCTCTCGGCTGAGCTGACAGGAGGCAGTTTCTGTCACGACGGCTGCTTGCCCAACGCCCTGGCTCCTCACATCGGAAACGGGTGCCGTTTGGGGTGGACTGGCCTTGTTGGGTCTCCTTGACGGCAGATCACCGTGCAGAACAGCCATTGATTGGCCTGTTGCCTATCCTTACATCGCTCCTGCTGCAAGCTTGCTCCTCGTTCTGGTCTCTAATAAAGCAGGGGCAGCCTCTATGATGTCAGTCAAGGGGTGCTCAACCCAACCCTGATTTTTGAAGATTGCTTTAATGTCATCAGGGGGAGCTAGACAACTATGGTCATGGGCAAATTCTGACACTTAGTATTTTCCTGTGAGCTATAACCATGCCCATGAAGAGACCTTTTAGGTAAGAATCAGGCTAGCTGTGACATTACTTCATAGTTTAACCTCTCATTTTCTGGCTATGCTGTTTGGTCCTCTATACTGTGGCCAGGCATTAGTACAGAAAAGGTCAGTCATCCCTTATATAAGGTCTGGGGATCAAACCGTGCATCACAGTGGAGAGTCCTGCAGAACAGTAGTAGCTTCCCTTCTGGAAGAGAAGAGAGGAGAAATGAGGCAGCCAGTCGGGTCTCTCTGGTTGCTTAGCCTGACTCCCTGGGCCTTCAGATTTAAGCAGCGTTCAACCGGTGTGTTACTGCCATCCTTTGGCTTCTGGATATTTACCGTGTAGCCAGTGGGTTATGGGCCTGGGTTGCCGGGTTTAACTAGTGTTACCGTGTAGCCCCTAAGTTTAAGTTTTGGGGCTTCCGGGTTTCCACCGTGTAGCCTGTGGACACTAGAGCTTTCTTGGGCTCCTGGAACCCAGGTCTCTAGCATCTGCCTCATAACCATCTCCAAGCATCTCCAAGTCTCTTTTGCAACACTCTCCCTTTGGGCTGGACCTCCGTGTGATCCACGTTTGAACTAGCAATGCCCGGTTATTCAGCGTCAGCTGCATGGAGACTTCCTCATCTCCCTTTAAAGGATCTGGCTTCAGAGCCAGGGGCTGGAGCAGCTAGAAAGAAACATGCTTATACCTGAAGTTTAGCATCATGTCACATCTTGACAGCACCTTTAATCCAAATAGCCCAACTGGTTATTATCTCTGCGAGATGAGAGAGGTCTCTTGGCATCTGCAGTAGCCCCTCTGGAAATATCAAATTCTGGAGAATTTAGAACTTTGATTTTCAGAAAGTCTGCTAAAGATGCCAAGAGAACTTAAAGTATCTGGGCAAAGCAGAATTCCTTAACACTGTGAAGTGATATCCATCCATGTAGTCAGGGTGATTTTAACACTTTTAGACCAGATCTAATCATAGTGACATTTAAAATAACTTAGACTTTTAAGGCTCGATGCTTTTCATCAATCGTAACTTAAGAGACAGTAGAGTACACGATAGATTCCTTCGACGGAACACAAATTCCATGTCTCTTGTTGAATAAAGCAGAAATAAAAACCTCGAACATAAGAGTTAGCACATGAAATCACCACATAACTTGGAACAATTTAACAGTCAAGAAGAGCTTACAGGACCTAACTCTAGAAATGGCACAGAGCAACCAATTAAACAGACACTGTTAAAAGGAGACGGTGCAGTTTTTACAACAGCAGATTTTAAGATTTACAATTGAGACCATTTCCAGATATTTACTGACATATTTATATGCACTTTAAAAAAACGCATTGTCCTAACAGAAGCTCGGACTTCGATTTTAGGTCCGTGTGACTTTGGCATTAACACTCAACTTTGGCCGGCGACGCGGCTCACTAGGCTAATCCTCCGCCT